CCCCCCCCTTAAAACTGCCCAGTTGGTGATCCTGTCTGTCCATTTGATCCTCAGTATAGCTTCCTCAGACACTTGTTTAAGAAAACCTGGATCCTCTTTGTGCTCGTCTGAGATGTGTTCCTGGTCTCACGCCTCACATCCATACAACATAATCATACACACAAGGATAATTATTCCATTTTTATTGGTATTAAATTGTTCTGTTAAATCTGACAAGAGATATCTCCATTATTTTGACGGGTAGTGTAGCCTACATATTGCTACATATTGTACCTAAGATTTGATCTGTTCAGTGCCTTGTTTTGAGAACTAATTTGACGTCAAAAGATTTTGTATTTCACACACATAAAGCCTTTTCTAATGCAATTCTTTGAGTATCTTGATAACGAATCTAATAATCATACGATTTTGATAGAGCTGCTAGAATTCTATAACGTTTGGATAGTGATCTCATATGGTCTTAGTAACTCGAAACGGCCAAAAATACCAGACAGAACTTTGTAATTCTTAGGTAACGATATGTGTCTGTATTCAGAATATTTTGTTCCTACATACCTCAGTGATGCCGCTCCGAATTAAGCGTCATTATATTATTATGCGCCTAATGTGGGAAACTTTGCAAGAGTTTCTAGTGCTTGTTTGCGTAAAAAGCGGATGGCCTTTGGAATGAAACATTTGCATCATACAAAAAACTTTTGATTTATTATTATTTTTTAAAAATGTATCAAAGTTGTCTGCAAAGAAAAGATAATGTGGCCCACCCCATATTTTCGCCTCATCTTGAAAAAAAAAGGCAGTGATTTTAAGGTGCATATTTCTCCTTGTGTTTTTCCTATCACACATCATCTAAATTGTTATAAGACGTCTTTTGAAAAAATCTGGACTTGATGAAAAAGACTTTTATTATAATTCTAGACATGTTTCAAATGTCTCATTCTTATCCAAATTATTGTGTCAAATAGACTCTTATAGCATAAGAAAATAATCTTAGCGAAGTTTTTCAGTCAGCATACAAGGCACATCATAGTACATGTACAACGTGTTACTTTAGGTCTGTACTGATATTTTAAAAGGAATTAATGGAAGAAAGGTGTGTATTATCACTCTTTTGGGCCTTTCGAGCATGCGATTCCATTGATCATGACTATTGACATACCCGAGAGGCTAAACTACTTTTGGTGTAGAGGGTACGTCCTGCGATGGTTTATCGAGTCATATTTTTAAAGATCGATTACAGGCAGTGGTTGGCGGTTGGAAGCGCGTTTTCAGATAATGTGTCTCTCAGATTTGGCGTTCCTCAGGGGTCTGTTCTTGGACTTGTCTTGTTTGCAATGTGTACCCAACTTATTGTTGAAAGAACTACACTGGCTGCCTGCCAGTAAAAGAAAGGACCAAATGCAAAACTGCCGGGTTTTTTTAAAATTTTAAATGATACTGCTCCTATTTGTCTTTTTAAAATCCTGGAATTTTAATATCACCCACCCAGAGCCCTTTGGGTCAGCCACTGACATAATTCTTAAAACCCTGAACAAAATTACAAAACATACGGCGAGCGTTCCTTTTTGTTCTTTGGTCCCCAGGCATGGAACGAAATTCCATATAAAATAAGATGTGCCCCTACTATTTACATTTTCAAACAGTTGAGGCCTTTCTTATTTACAAATGCATAGGACTTACCTGTCATAATATGAGCTGTATACATGCATGTGTATGCTCGACTGTGAGACTGAAGACATAGCGTGTGAGAATTATATATATACATATACATATACATATAT